ACAGCTACAGAACCACTGATTCCGACTGGGGACAGAACCCCCAGCTGAGGCCACTCAGCCTGTGACCCTGACCCACAGCCCCACCAGGCATGAGTTCCTGTGCCCAGGACTTCCGCTGCCACCTTGAGACACAGGCCATGACTCAAGACTGGGCCTATCTACAAGTCCAGGGCACACACTAAGGCCATGGTGAGGGCAGCTACACAGCTGCTGCTGGGCCCAGGGAGATGGCAGCTCCTTCAAGAAAGGAATCTCTCAGGCTGGGCAGCTCCTGCTCCCAGGCCCTGCAAGGCCTCTCCTCCACTTCTATGGAGTAGGAGTCCCAGGACTTTCCAGAGCCCAAGTGGAGGGAGGCATGGAGGGGCAGCTGAGAGTAACAGGAGGCCCAGCCTGGAGGAGGCATGCTCCTCACCGAGGCTGTACAGCACCATGCCTGCTGGGATGAGCAGGAGGTGAGGTCAGGCAGCAAGCAGTGCTGTCAGGGACTCCCCACGGCCTGGCTCTGGGCAGAACCCTGCCTGCTCCATGCTGGGCTCTCTGGAAAGTGTTTCCTCTGCCTCAGATACACTGCAAAGCACAGATCTCCCCGGCTGAGCCAGGGAAGGTGCTTCCTCCCCATCTGGCAGGTGCAAAGGCTGAGGCTCACATGTGCAGACCCTGCCCACAGTGCTCCAGCCAGGTAGTGACTCAGCAGACTCAGAAGCCCATGTCTATGTCACAGCACCTGATGGCCCTCAGTGTAGGGACAGGGCAGACCTCCTCCAGACCTTGGGCTGCTTGTGGGACACCAGGCCATGGCTGCTGGGCAGGTGGGGGCTCCACAGGACTGAGGAAGGCAGTGCAAAGGCTTGGGGGAGATGGGGCCCAGAGGAGCATTCTTGGCCCTGCTGTCCTGGCTGTCCCCTTTGCTGAGCACACAAGATCCCAGAGAGAGTGGCCCTGCTATGGTCATACCTCAGGTGCAATGGAGGCTGTCCCTCCTAAAGGGGCTGCTGCCCCAGTCCCACAGATCCCTTCAGCCTAGTCCATCCTGCTGAGCGGGCCAGGAGGGGTCTGCAGAGATTGGCCTTAGTTTCCCTGTCTGTAAAATGGGGACAAAGCCTCCAGGAGACTTGAGTACAGGGCAGCTGGGCAGGAGCCCAGCCAGGCCTCTGTTTGTCCAGACCTGGGTCCACCATGGTAATACCCATCGAGGAGGCAACAGCTGCCTCCAGGAGGAGGCCTGTCGATGGTAGATAGGCCAGGCAGAGCATTATTCATGAGCCCGTCAAGCCCCAGGAACGTCTGGTTGGCATAGAAACAGGAGATAAGGGGCACAATTAATGGCATCGCATTCCCTCCTCCTTTCTTCCCCAACTGACCCACTTAAATCCCGGCGTGCTTGGTGCCATGCTGATTCCTGGTGACCTCGGGGAAGAGACTCCTGCTATGATACTGGGTCTGGGGCTCAGGCCTACCCATGGTGTGGGGTCTCAGGTTGCTGAGAGGCAGGCAGAAGACAGGGCTTCAGAGAGACCCCAGGGGGACCCATTTCACAGAGATGAAGAGTGAGGCAGGGGCTGGGCTGGTGGTCACAGGTGTGGTGGTCGAGGTACCTTTAAAAGTAGAGCTAGGCTGCCACAGCCACCCCCTTCCACCACTTCTTTAGGCAAGAGACTTACTTTCTCTGAGCTACTCTAGACGCCTGCTGGTATAAGGGCTGGGTGCATCCGTCCCCCGGCTGGTGCCCCCAGCAGCCAGAGCCAGGGCAAAGCCCACAGGTGGGCCAACCAGGATGCTGTGTCCCTCCCCACCTGTAAGTCCCCCTCTGTATGTCCCAGGCCCTACACTCCCCGGACTTGGGATGCAGATGCTGCCACAGTGACCAAAGGGGATGACAGGCCGGCAGTGATGGCAGGACCCCTGATGGTGGACACACATCTCTGCAAGCAAGGGGAGACTAGGGTGCAGGCTGTGTCCTCAATGCTCTTGTCACAGGGGCTGGTGGGGTACTGCAAGGTGGTCCTGGTGAAGGACCTGGGGCTGTGTGCACAGCCTCTCCGACAGCTGCACAAGGCAAACCTCCCCAGCACTCTGAATAGGGACTGCCCCCACCAGAAGCAACTTTGGCCCTGCAGCAGGCGCTGAGGAGAGCAGGCAGATGGCTCTGAGGCTCGGAGTGAATTAGTCACCCTGTGGCTACCAATACTTTGTTTAATCAAACTCTGAGAATGTGTGAAAAACACTCCAAGGTGGTAGCAAGTTGCCCCATTCCTCTGAAAGTCCCCGACTGGGCTGGCCCAGGTCCACTGGGATCTAGGCCATGGCAAGCAGGCCTTTAACAGGTTTAGCCTGGCCTGGGGGGCTCCCAGTGGCGGGGGCTTATTCTTGCGCCCTTTCCCAGAGAAGGAAACTGAGGATAAATGATGGCCTCCAACACCCTCCTGACCCCTTCTTGCCTTCTACCCAGGAATCTCTTCCCTGTATCTGTACAATCAGCTCTTCCCTCTCCAGATAGCCAGACTCATTGGCCCATTCCTCAGAGCTGGAAGCTGGGTCCACCTGGCTGGTCTCTTTAACAGCACGGGGGGTTGCAGGCCTCATCTGAGTAGGGTCCATGATCTCTGACTTCCCACTACTCTCAGCTGTGGGGGCAGCAGGAACCCAGGGCTGCACACAAGTGCTCAATGAAAACCTGCCAGTGGGCAGACTTTCCCTTGACTTGGGGGACCTGTTGGAAAAGACTTTAGTATACTTGGTTCCCAAAAAAAATGGGCCCATCGAAATCGCCTTGATTCTTTCCTCCTGAAAACTCCAAGAAGGTCACACCTACTCCTTGCCAGGAACTACAACAGCTAGCATAAATCAGGGAAAACTCCCTCCGAGGCAGGTGACAAACCACCTGGGGCCACCAGCCAGCACCACCTATTAAGAATTAGGGGCGGAATGTCCCCCTCTGGACCAGCAAGGTCAGTTTTCTTTCCTTCTGACCGGCTGTACCCGGGCCACAGAAGGAGGAGCAACTTCCTGGCAAGTGAGTGTCCAGAAAGCACTCCAGATGGACAGTGCCTGGCCCCCACTGCCCTGCCCGACGCCCCGCGCGGCCATGCCACAAACCAACAAACCGGCTGGGCCTGGAGGCCCCAGATAAGGCCTCTCATCGCTCTCGGGAATCACCATCCGACTGGGCTGGCCCTGCTTATCACTGTTCACATCAACCCGGGCGGGCGGGGTGGGGGGTGGGGTGGAGCAGGGGAGTAGAGGGGAGCTCTGTGGGCCAGGGGAGCCAAGGGTCCAAGGCTGCGCCCTGCTCCCGCACTCCTGCCAGTGCCCCCCAACCCACCCCGCCTATCCTCACAGCCATCTGGCTGGCCAAGGCCAGGCTCCAGCTTCACCCTCCCCCAGCGCCCACGTTTGAAGTTAATAAATGGAAGCGCCTATCGCAGCCACCATCAGCTGCACGCCTTATCAACTCGGCACATCTATCTGTGAGCAGCACAACAAAAGGCACACTGAGGCTTGGGCAGCTTTGAAGGGGCACTGGGTCCCCTCCCTTCTGCACCCTGAGCCTGGCTGCAGGTGAGGCCAGGGCAGCACACATGTAGCTTTGAGGGCCCATGCATATTCGTGGGCACCGAGTGGGTGGGCACGTAGGCAGGCACCATGCTCTGTGACAATCAGCGTTTACATCTTAACTTGCTTAGATCTTTGCGGGGGGGGGGGGAGGCACCCAGAGCGCAGAGCTGTGGGAGTGTCCCAGCCCCACTTCCAAGCCTGGCCCCCTACAGCCTGGGTCCAGGCCTGCACACCTGCACAGTTTCTGTCCCTGGCGTCGTGTGGCTGACCCAGCTGGGCTGGGCTTTGCTCGGTTCCTGAGGCCTTATCTGCACTGGAGATCAGTTCCCAACCTGCGATCTCCCTGCCCAAGCTATCTTCATTTCTCATCGAGCTCTCTCTCTCTCTCTCTCTCTCTCTCTCTCTCTCTCTCAAACACACACACACACATCCAGAGGCACACAAAAAGAACAGAACCAAGCTGAGGAACATAGGGGAGGAGGGGAAAAGAAACCAGAGAACCGATGGGGACGGTAGTTTTAATACTCGAGTTGACAGGACAGAAGGCTACTTTTCGAAAACACATTCCACGTGCACCTGGGGGTTGTGCTGCCTCCCCCGACCTCAGGAGTAGGGACATGCACAGGCCAGTGCACCCACAGTCCTGGTGGCAGTGAGAGACATTGTGCAGTGAGTGGCGTGGCCCATTTCTCCTCCCCTCCTGACTGGGGGGGGGGGTCCCGCAGGGGCACTAGCTACAGAGGTTCTAAGTTATTATTGACGCGAGGTGGGGAGCTTCCTGCGTTCTCACTTCTTCCAGCACAGCCAAGCGGTCCCGTACCCCAGACCCCAGCAAACGCCAGGTGTTCTTATCTTGAGGCATCAGCAACGTGGGCCTCAGTGGCCCCCGAACCTTGGGGAACTGCCCAGCGGCCGACCCGCGAGAAACTTGAATGAGCGCAGAGGCAATGCCAGGGCTGTCCCAGGCGCTCCCCCACATACTTGGATGTAGGGAAGGGGCAGATCCCCGCGGGGACACACGCAACAGTGCCAGGGCGGTGGGAGTCTGGATCAGGAAGCCCTACTCTGCGACCAGCACGAGGTGGGCGCCGCCGCTGGACCGTACACGAAGCCCCAGGTGCCCCTCTGCTCCCAGGTCTCTTTCTCCCTCCAGATACAAAGCCTGGGAGAGTGGAGAGCAAGATAAGATCACAATTTCAGCCCGTCCCGACAGAGCGATCTTATCAGGATGGGACTTGCAGAATGGAATATTTTAAACTTTATCTGAGCCCAGATCGGGGCCGCCCTATCGCCGCACCATCTCCGCGAGGCGGGGGAGGGGCGGGCGGGCGGCGGCCGCGCCCCTCGGAGACCCGGAGCCGGCCGGGACGCGGGGCGCTAGGGACGCGGGTGAAGGTCGAGGGGAACGCGGGGACGCGCGCCGGGGCGGGCAAAGTTTGACTCACGCCTGATCTGCCGGGGGTTGCTCTGCTTCCTCCTGGACATGTCTCCGCCTCTAGCCCCGGGCGGGCGGCGGCGGCGGCGGGCGGAGGGGGCGCGGCGGGGCCGCGGGGAGGCTCA